TTTTACTTAATCAATGAATTGTATATTATTTACAGACTCGAAAAGATAAATAAATTTAGTAATTAATAACTGAACACCAACAAAATTACAAGAAATTCCTAATAAACAATTGAAACAGAATACACTATTTGCTTTTAATTGAAAAGAAAGTAATTATAGAAAACAATAACTTTAAATTACTTATCAGATGGAACGTTCACGATACACTGTTTAGTTATTACTTGCGTACACCGGTTCTTGATATTCACTAATTGCCCTCCACCTTCCTACAGACAGAGACCATCACTGAATATCATTTTAGCATATCTCAAACCACCAGAGAGAACGAAATCGCTCACTTTCGGTGTTTTGGCCATCTCGCTGCGATTTTTGTTATACTTGCATCATTTATACGAGTACAAATATACCTCGCATAATGTAACCCTAATATAATGATCACCAGTTCACTTTCCAAACACAAAAGACAATTTTCATTCACATTCATGAAAAGTAGACGACAAGATTTGGAAGCAAACGAGTCTAGAAGTTATCGAATACTTAAATGAACATGGCAGAGAGAGGCGAATATTACAAGGAGGTTCTGTCAATGATCAGAGGTGAAAAAGTAAAATTGTACAACATGGTAGCAAAGATAATCAATTCCTTTTAAAAGACATAAAGTAATGTCTCTAAACTTTATCTAGAGAATTGAATTAGAGTAGAACCTAAAGCTCTCTTTTGTCACATTTAAAAGTCCTGATATAGGGTCCACACGTGTTATATCACCTCTTCTAGTGCTTCTTGAATGCATAATTGGAAGATGCTCAAAGAAGTATATTTTCCTGACATCATTCACAGCAAGTCGTGTCCTTCCATTGTTCCACATCTCCTTCGAAGTATGGACTTTATTTTGTATTGTTAAGTTTTGTATACTTGTAAATATGGTCACCTACACACTTTTGTTAATAAAAGCAATAGTTGCAAAAGATTTTTTTTTGTGTTCCCTAATTTTCCCTATTAATTTCCAATTGCCAGTTTTCAAGACGTTTAAAGTATTTCTTACAGAAAAATAGTACCAGTTTAGACACAAAATATAATTGATAGATAGATTTATTAAAGTTTGCTTTGAGCTAATGTTCGGTCGCGAACATGATAACAATTAGAATTAGAATTACAAAACATTTTCAACATTTACAATTAGGTTTACTATTAGAATTAGGGGTCGATATCTTAGTTCCAATTTATTTCTAGCTAACTCTAAATTCACTTCTAGTTTACATAACACTTCACTACACTACACTTCACTTCACTGAATAAGGGACATGACGATAATAATTATAACAATAACAATATAAGAAATAATAATAACTTAAAAAATTCCCCAAAGTATGATGGTCAATATAATATTTTCTGTCCATTACTGAAGTATTTGTAATATACGTGTCTTTCAGTATCATTTGTGACTTGTTACTTCCTGTATTCCAGAGAAAACGTCTGGGCTAAACATCACTAGTTTTTCACAAGTGTACAGTGCGTCTGACCGTGTAAACATTGATTACTGCTTCCGGGTGCGTTAGGTAATTATTCGTCACGAGGATTGGAGCACAAATCATGGCGATTATTTTCTTTTTTCTTAAAGAAATGTAATCGGATCAATCTCATTTGTAATGTGGAATAAATGATGCAGTATGGTGTGTTCACATCAGCAGATGGATCTGTTAATGCCTTTATTAGCACAGAGAGCAACGTGGTATCAGTTGTTCGACTACCGCTGTGCGAGATGAGCTTAACATGTTTGAAGCATCACTCCCACTCCCACAGCGATTCTCATTTGTTGAAAAGACTGGTAATGTCATAGGAATTGGTAGAATCTCTAGGGAATAATGGCATTCCATACCAGACAGTCGCGAGATACGCAGAAAGCAATGATATGCAACACTCATGACAACCTGTGACTGTGCGGACCGATCTGGCACGTGGAGTCATCGAGCATTCGCCTAATCAGGCCTTAAGAACGAGAACATAATGATTTCGAAAGATGGTAAACTAGTACATATGCTAAAATGTTTTGGAACATGAAACCAGGACTGTCAATTCGGATACCTCAATAACTATGAGCAACATAATTTTGGTGTGTCCTTAAATGTCCATGGATTCACGTAGTTTATAACTTCTCCTTTCATATTTTTCTAATTTTCCACCCGTCCTCGTATTCTCACAATAAAATAGTTGCCATGTATCGTGCCCAAACTTTCGTATAATGGGCAGGCGGCTGTGTTCCTTCCCCTGATACGAGAGATCCGGCGCCAACTTACACGTCGCCCTACCTCTCCCCTTCTGGTAGCTCCTCCCAGTCGTGTCAAGCACTGTTTGACTGGTCTCGCGGCATGTATGGTAGTGTAGTGCATATAGTAAGTGTGTGTATGAAAGAGGTAGGATAGGACAAGGAAGAGGAAGGAAATATCGCGTGCGGTCCGTGACCTATTTGTTAGGGAATTTCTGCGGCATTTGTCTGGCGTTGATTGGAGAATCCACGGAAATCTACCGATCAGAACAGCCAGCCGCTAGAATTATCCTCCACTCAGAGACGGAATCAGACCTAGCTGCCGGTTAGGGGCACTGCAGTGGACCAACTGTGACCCAGAGCAAACCCAGCCAGGCGGTGTACAAGGCGTTGGGCAAATTCCTTCCCACCTAAAGCACCAGAGGACAAAGCAAACATTGAGCCATGCCTACACGATATAGTCAGGCCCTAAAATCTAGAAATAGTGTGCCAAATAAATTAATAAATTACAAGGGTAATAAATTACTTCATTTATAATTAATTAAATTACCTAATGTAATAATAAATGACTTCATTTAACACGCTGTCTAATCATAATCCTTGTTCTGATATCGAAAAATCGATTGACGGCAAAACATTTGTCCGTCCGTTAGTTTCTGGCCAACAGTAGTATCTAAACCGTCCAGACGATTTTTACAAAAACTGACAATCCCTGAGCGGCTTAAAGGAACTAAAGGCCTGCGAGTTTGAAAATAATATTTTGATTTTGTGAAGGGACTTTACATGACGCCAAAAATACGTTTCCAAAGTTTTCTCAAAAATTGCTTCAAATTTTTTAATCAACCTTTCTCCTAGGATGGAAAAAATTACCATTAATGTACTGCCACTGGTTTTGTTTCTAATTCACAAAAATTGTAAAATACCCATTTTTTAGCGTCTGCCTAAGACTACATATTGAAGATAGAGATTTTCCCCTAATAAAATGTATTCTTTTTGAAAAGCAGATCTTGAAATAAGACTATCAATATTGTTTTAGAAAGTATGAGTGATTTTCTCGTAAACAGTAAAATGTAGACATTTTTAAATAACGCCTTTCTCAAAACAAGGCTTCAAATTTTTCCCTCAAGTTTTCTCCTCGTACGTATCAAAAAACGGTAAAACAATTGTGCTAGACTCATTTCCGGCAAACTCTTTATATCTTCTAAAATTGCAATATGTTGACATTAGAACTACAATATTGATGACAGATTTTCTCTTAAATTTGTTCTAACACTAGTGGTTACATAACAGCACATACTATCTCGCATTATTTGTAACAACTTCGCAGTATTATACTTACTGAATAACATGCAAAAGGGATGCTCGTGCATACACCTGACGATCCTGGTGGAGGCAAAGTAAAACTATAGAAAGCTGGTACTGAAGAATACGGATTTGTTTGTGGAATTGCATTTATTACAAGGTGGTTAAAAACGTAAAACAATTCGTGTTGTTTGTTCACTTCGTGGGTTTATATTCCTAGGATTTCAAGAGCAAGTCTGTAAATAACACGTAAAATTACAAACAACCAACTCTTTTACATGGTGTTGTGTAATATTTGATATGCACTGACTGAATTGTTATACTTCCTTATTTAATACGTTAATAACAATGTGTGTGTGTGTTGAAACGGGAGCACTGCTTTGCAGTTCAATGCTGCAATAATAACGGAAAGAATCTTGAGATTTAGAAAGGATCTAGAAAGGAAAGAAAGAATATTGTTCAAATCATAATAGAAATGTTAGTATCTCCTAGATATCTTTAGATTACTTACATTTCTAAATATTTTCCTAAAAGAAGATAAATACTTGCTCCTCATGATCCCTCTATTCAATGTCAAAAGAGAACAGATTTAAATTATTTCTTTATATAAAAATAGTTTTAAAATGCTACTTCACCTGTTGTATATTTAGTTGAATTCGAAAAGAAATTAAAATACATAAACATTTCCTTTTTGACCATATTTAACAGAACGAGGCTGTATTACGAATGTAGTATAGAATGTAATTGGCGTAGTTTTCCTTTGTCACCGCGCGGAACGCTACAATCGAAGACCAACACGTCGTTATATAGCATTTAATACACAGCTGCACTACTACATGGTGGAAAGATTTGAGTGAGATACTCCAGCGCAACGATTTTTGCTCGTTCTGCGCAGCACGTGACTGCGGACCACGTGACCACCGCACGGGCACTTCGTTTCGATAGCCAGACCAGACGCTGGCCGCCATATTGCATGGAGGGCGCCAAGTGTCGAGAAACATTTTGAAAGTGGCATAATGTGACAATTTTCAACCGTGACCAACCAATAATAACTCATGATAGTGTAATTGAAATAAAATACGCAATATTAAAAAAATAGTGCTTCTTATATCTGTTTCAATGTCTTGTAACGAAGTGATTATTCTGGTATTTGGCTGCATTTAAAATTCCCGCTAATATTGTGACACAAACTAGTGCCTGAAGCTCATTGGCAGAAGTCAGATACGATGCGCAAGTGCCCCCCCTCCCCCCTGTGCTATTGTATGATAGGTATTATCCGCGCACGTTTTCTTCAGCCCTCGCTTCGCTAGATGCCAGAGGAATGAGAAGATTAGTTATTTTGACAAAAGGAATTTTACGTCAAACTTGTAGTTCATTTTTCCAATCAAAATAGTTCCTAATACACGGGAGCAAACATTTCTCGTTACCAGATTTTGTCTACAACGCTCGTTGCTATCATTAATTCAACTAATGTTGGGAAAGGAGTGGGGGTAGACATTCCGGGGCTAAAGAAAACGTGAGGATATAATACAGGTGGCCACACTAAGCATCTCTAACTCGTCGGCCACGCCTCTGGGCGAAGCGCTCCGCCAGAAAGGCGGTGCCCGCCAACGCCACTCCGCCGCACAGCGCCACTAGCGCCTCCAACATGGCGGACAGGCCCAGCGCCTGCGGGGCGTCGGAGGGCACCACTTCTTTCACCAAACTTCTCGCATGTTCCTCTGCGAGCATCCTGGGACACAGATAATAATAATAATAATAATAATAATAATAATAATAATAATAATAATAATAATAATAATAATAATTGCATATCGGTCATTTATGACCACTCTACACTTTATCTTCCGAGGTTTCGGAGAGATGAACGTGTATAATTACGGGGATAAGCTTTTTACGGCTGTATCCCTTAATAAGACAAGGTTGTAACGTCTTGAATTATGAATAATGAGGTGATAGGATGATAATGAAAAGTGAAAGGACAATCACAAATACGATCATGCCTATGCATTACTCGAACCTGCAACCTCCTCGGCGCAGACGATGGCTGCCGCAAAAATCTGCGCCATTATTAATTATCTTCATTAGTATTATCACCGTCATTCTCCCTCTACTGGGTGACTCAGTATAAATGTAGCAAACATGAGGAACATACAGGGTTGCGTTTGCCCCTCATTGGAAGCCAACTCATCGAGCTTGAGTATTAGGGCAGATACATGCTTTCACTCATTGAAGAAGATATCGTTTACCTGCCTATAACCAGTACAAGATGAGATACCAATGGGGGTAAAATACTACATGTACCACTTTGTTGAATGGCATTTCCCACCATATGTCCATTGGCAAACAGTTACCATCTTCGAACTCCCTATGTGCTCTGGGTGTTTGTCACATTATACTGAGGCACTTTCACTATAAAGTTATATAGTTTACATAATATAATCTTAAAATTACTAACGTAAAAGAGGGCGATATTAAGTAGTTTGCAATTATAATGATGTGTACAAAATAAATATTACTGAAAGTAATAACCAGATGAAAGTTTCTTTGAGAAAGTGACTGTGTGTGTGCGTGTGCGTGTGTGTACGTACCCCTCGTAATACCGGAAGAGGCCCGCCTGAACGGCCGACTGCATCAAGGCGCTGAGCCTCTGCCTGTGCGGCCATTTCACCCGCACCGGGCACGTCACGTAGATGGGCGACAAGATGGGTTGCGGCACCATGTGCAGCCTGTCGCGCCCGGACGCCCGGTCCACGAACTCGGGTAGGCGTTTGTCTCTGCGGAACAGCGACTCCGACATCACGAAGCCCACGCGCGGGGTGCCGGGCTTCACGTACTGCCCCTCGTCCATCGCCTGCTGGGGGAAGCCCCTCTTCAGTTTGGCCGCCAGCTCTCCCAGGGCGCCTACAAATGCGATAGTTACTCATGCACCAAGGGCGTTATAACAATGGAGTAGCGACGAAAAGCTCTAGGGCCTTTGGCCACAAGTACGAATGAAAGACAGAAAGAGGGAAGAAAAAAGGAGAGAAGCAAAGAACATAGAAGCCCAGTGGCCAAGAAGCAAATAGAAAGAAAGAAAGAAGGAAAGAAAGAAGGAAAAAGGAAGGAAAGAAGGAAAGAGAGAAGGAAAAAAGAAGGAAAGAGAGAAGGAAAGAGAGAAGGAAAAAGAAGGAAAGAGAGAACGAAAGAAAGAAGGAAAGAAGAAAAGAAAGAAGGAAGAAAAGAAGAAAAGAAAGAAGGAAGAAAAGAAAGAAGGAAGGAAAGAAGGAAGGAAAGAAAGAAGGAAGGAAAGAAGGAAGGAAAGAAGGAAGGAAAGAAGGAAGGAAAGAAGGAAGGAAAGAAAGATGAAAAGAAAGAAGGAAAGAAAGGAGGAAGAAAAGAAGAAAAGAAAGACGGAAGGAAAGAAGGAAAGAAGGAAGGAAAGAAGGAAGGAAAGAAGGAAGGAAAGAAGGAAAGAAAGAAGCAGAGATAGAAGGAAAGAAAGGAGGAAGGAAAAAAGAAAGGGCAGAAAGACGGAAGGAAAGAAGGAAAGAAGGAAAGAAAGAAGCAAAGCACCCTCGTCTGCCTCGTAGGCGGCCCGCGTGGTGCGAAACAGCGCCGTGCGGTCGTACACCGTGGTGAGCCGCGCGAGCGCCTGCGCCAGCGTCTGCGGTTGGGGCGCCTCCGACGTCACCGCCAGGAAGCTCGTGAGCTGGGCGCGGAGCGTCGCGGCCAACACCACCGCGCACCAGCTCAGCACCAGAGCGAGGCCGCTGCTCCCCGGGCGCCGCCGCACCGCCTGGCGGGCAAAGCAGCAGTTGAAGCCACCAAGCGCACCAACTGAGTCTTTTAGATACTAAGTAAGGAGCGGAATTTAATTAAAGGGCTTTTTTCACTTCAGAATCATGTCGTTTACAATAGATATATATTTTATGTTAAGACGGAACGAAATGAGCCATTTTTATATTCATTCTTTTGCATTTTTAGTATATACCGATTAAAAAGTCATGTTTTACCGTTTTACGTTACTTTATTGACTTTTTTGCTGATTTAACAGATTTTAGTATCATTTCAATGGTATTTGCTTCAATGTTTACGCGGTGCAATCACAGAATTCCCGAGTACCTTATTCGATATCTTCACTCGTATATTACCATGTCAACCGTTGAGTCCTATGTAATCTAAGGTTTCCGTGACGTTTATTTATTTATTTATTTACGTCAAAAACAGTTGAAAACTGTGTGTGTCTGCTATGGGAAGAAGTTAATTTGAAGTTACATATATGTTCAGAAGCAAACAAGGGCTATCTCAGCATTTGCTTGAGAATCAGGGAAACTAGACGAAAACCTGATCGAGATGGGGGTCATTGACCCAGAAGCTGAAGTACAATACTTGTTACAGGTTCTTTACAATATTTTTTATTCTTTTTTCGGTCCCTTTGTCAGTTCGGCCGATTTCGCGATAAATAAAGGCGAAGATAAATAAAAGAGTTTTTTTATAAAGAACAGTACAAACTGAAAGTTTGCAAGTTGAGTTTACTTTAACAAAGAAAAGAAGCCTCAATTACATTAGTAACTTATTGAACAACTTAAGTTGTTTATCTCAACTGGTTTTGATCAATTTTTTATGTCATTTTTCTCTGTTTTAGGGCACTTTTGAAGCATTTATGAGTATTATATTGATCATTTTTGTCAGTGTTTTAGGTTATCAAACTCCGCCCCCTAGATATTGCTACATAGTTCGGTATACACGGTACAGTTTTCGTGCAGGTTCTCATACCGATTCTATACAGAAACTTCAAGATACCAAACTAGAAGTATTAAAAACCAAAAGTCGCGTATACACGGTCTGTTCATTTTCTGTATGAATCGCTATAAGACACCGCAATGGGGTCTACCGGAACACAACTTAATTTCGCTGTCTGAGTACTGTCAGTGGCGATATTTCTATGCGTGCTTTTTTCTATTATATTTATTAAGTACAAATATTAATTAACCATGAATATCATAGACAATAACAATAGAAAGGCAGGAAGAGGGAAAGAAGTAGTTTATCACAATATCACTTCACACAATTTCACCTTGACACACCTAACCACAAAACACAAATGGCCGATTGCGGTCGCCTTGGATAAACAAATCCGTTTGTGAACGTTCTCAAACTGTCAAACTTCAGTCAAACTGTCAGTTTTCTGCTTGAAAAATTGCGAACAAGCTCAAAAGGTTACATGCAGAAATCTTCGAGTCTGGACCGCACATTTTCTGTACGTTCAATCAGCACGGAAACTGTACCGTGTCAAAGTGGACCCTTCTTAGAGCATATCTCAGTACGATTACCTCTGTACCGACTTCAAACAGGATTGATTGATTTATTATAGTGCATTTCCCTGTGCCTCAACTACTAAGGTCAATAGTCCCGTAAGTGCGGAGCGTGTTTACAACGGGAGATACGCTGAATACGGGGTTCTTCTCCCAACAGCGAGGCCCCGCTCCAGCCAGGACAAGCTCTAAGCTCCCGACCGATCTCCCGACATGTGTGATAGTGTAGTGCATGTGGAGTGTGAGTAAGTAAGGGGTAGGATAGGACAAGGAAGAGGAGGAAAAGATTGCATTCGGTTGTCACCCGTTAGGGTACGGCTTCGGCATTCGCCTGGTGTTGATCGGATAAACCATGGAGAGCTACTGATGAGAGCAGCCGGCCACTGAATGTCTCCTCCAGACAGCGGCTGAAGACCGTCTAACTATGTAGCTAGTGTCGAAAATCCTGCCACCGTCGAGAATCGAACCCTAGGTCCTGATAAATAAACGGGAAAATAACCATCACTATATTGAGCCTACTCAACCCAACGAAACATTTAATAGAACAGCGACCAATGATCGATTACTACTCAACAGTAAACTGCTCTGTGATTATTCAAATACCTGTACAATATTGAAATTGTATCGTAATGACTAGAGTCCGGATTTGTATGCAAATGAATTTTTAATTTTTTTGCTAATTGTTACTTAGAAGATGCACACATATCTTTACCATATTAGTACATAAAAAATACAGTGCAGAAGCCTTTTCGAACAAACTTCCGATCGCGTGTACCTGGCCGGACGCTGCGGTGAGGAAGGCTGCAACCGGGCCCTGGTGGACACCCGTCGCCCCGGCAGCCAGGCGAGCCATCACCCACACGACCGCAAGGCCTGCCACCAGCGCCCACGACCCAGGTCGCAAGCAGTGGGCAATGGTGAGCCTTCTCGGCGGCACGCGCCCCACCACCATCACCAGGTTGTCTCGCGCCACCGGGTACAGGCCGTCGTTGCAGTCGACCAGGCAGTACGCCTCCACGGCCAACACGTCGTAGTACGGGGTCCAGTTGTTGTCGCGGTTGGGTTTGAACGACACGCACTGCACCTGGGTCGGACAACGACTGTGAGAATTATTACTTCTAGGCTGTCCGGGTGACGCCGCGTCGTTGGCAGATAGGCCTATCTCTCACCCGGACAGCCTATAAGTAATAATCCTCACAGTCGTTGTTCGCCCCAGGTGCACCAGGTGCCCCAGGACAGCCTAGAAGTCATGGTGTTGCGCAGAACGATCAAAAATCGGTGCGCCGGAAGCACTAACCCACGTATTTCCACTATGATCGTCCCTAGTATAGATTCCTTTCACTTTCGATTCAATTCATCGAATCGATTTATTAATATTCGATTTATTTTTAATAACAATTTATTAATGTATTCTATTTATTTTAATATTTTATACGATTAATATTCGATAATATTTATTAATATTCGAATCATCGAATCGATTTATTATTATTCGATTTATTTTTAATATCAATTTATTAATATATTCGATTTATTTTAATATTTTATATTTCATACGATTAATATTCGATTCATCGCATCGATTCATTTTAGGAATCGCATGTCGCTTGAAACATCACGCACCGGGCCCAGGCGCAGCGCCACCTGCAGCAGCAGGTAAGTGGTGGGGTTGTCGAGGAAGCGCGCGCGGCAAGGCCCGCCCATCAGGGTGGCCAACCGCACGACGCCGTGTCGAGGGCGGCGCCGGGGGCGGTCGGTGGGGGCGGCAGATGGAGAACCCGCCGCTCCGGCCCTCCTCCTGCGAGGCAGCAGACACGCGCGGCCCGAGCAGCGTGCGGTTGGCGCCACTTCCGACACAGCTGCACACGTCAAACCGGCTCAGAAGTTGACTGGTGCCATGCAGTGCCTCGGGCGGAGGTTTCGCAGGGTGGGAGTCCCGGCGGAGGCAGACATTTTCTGACTAGCTAAATTGTCCGGTCAATATTCGCCCGCAATCTGGAGGAGAATTCAAGCTCTAATCGATAGTTTTCGGTGATTTCTACATCCAGTTTACTAACAGATAGTTTTCGGTAATCAACACCAAGCGAACGCCGGATTAATATCTTAACAAATGGGCCACAGATCGCGTGCGATATTTTCTTCCTCTTCCTTACCCTATCATCTTTACTTACACACACACACACACACACACATGTACGACACACGTCGTGAGACTGATCGGGAGCTTGGAGCTCGAGCCGGCTTGGGCTGTGCCCGACTGGTGGGAGATAGCTAGTTAGGGAATCCTCGGTAGACTACGGGAACATCGGCGCCGGATGTCATGATCCCGCGAAGGAAGATCACAGCCACCTCACGAACAGCATGCACTACACTTACGGTATAAATGACTTTATAAGTTGGCGCGCCTAGAATCACTAATCAATCAAGCAGCGGGCATCTGAACGAAGAGAGTTGAGTGGAGGTGCGGACCCAAAAAACGAGAACAAATATGTGAAGGTGCAAAAGAATATAATTGATTGAATCAATCATTAATTGATATATCCAGGCTAAGGCCATTAGTCCCGTTTGCATAGTGAGTGTGTTATCCCTGGAGATGGCGGTATTCCTTCCCAGTGGCTGGTCAGACCCGGTGCCAACCTACACGTCGGCTTGCGAGCAATTTCCCCTTCAGGTATCTCCCCCAGCGGGGCACCGCGCCACCCACAAGCTCAAAGCCTCCGTTTGGCATTTTGATATGTGTTAGTGTACCACATGTAAATTGGTGTAAGTAAACGAAAAGGATAAGGCAATGAAGAGGAAGGAATGATCGCGAACGGTCTCTGTCCAGTTTGTTAGGATACTGGTCCGGCATTCGCCAGGCGTCAATCCGAAAAACCACGGAAAACTACCGACCAGAGCAGCCGGCCGCTAGACTTCTTCCCCAGACAGCAACAGAACTTAACCTTGCTATAATTATAGTGAACTTCGCAAACTCGCCATCTCCGGGTCGCAAGCCCTAGTACCTCCTGTTCGAGTCACTTAGAGACAGTGGCAATGCTCTGAGCTAATCAGAGTCTGTGGAAGACGAGAAGAGGAGGATAGTAATTGAGCGAGAGGAATAAAGGACGCGGAGATAGAGAATGAGGAAATGGAGCTTGAAAAAGCAATAAGTTAAGGTACCGATAGAGGATGTCGACCGCAGATAACAGAGAAAGAGGAGAAGTAAAATAACGAAGAGGAGGGGCCGAGGCAAAAGGAAAAAAATAAGAAGCAAATAGAACAAAGGGGGAACAAGTAAAGGAGGAGGAAGACATAAAGAACAGGGATATGAAAAAATAAAAAAAAAACAGAAGGAGAATTAGATAAAAATGGATAACGAGGAGGGCAGCTGAAATAAGAAAATGAAGTAAAGAAGCGTAAAAAAGTATAGAATAAAAAGAAGTAAAAAGAGTAAGAAAAGGAAACACGTTGATGACGTGGAGAACCGATAAAGGAGAATATATGAAGCCAATCTTCAAATTTGTACCTCAAATATCTACCAATACGTCCGTTTAAATTCAAAGTGTTCTTTTGTCATAACTGGTTTTATACAAGGAGAGGCTACGTTCAGTATCAAAACTGAAAATAGTACTAATTTCATTATGACATTCATACAAATCTACTGTTTTCCTAGTACATCCATTTCATTTAAATTAAACTTGCTATTTTGTAGTATTTGTCTAAAAGACTGCACACGTGAAACTACCCTTATTTAGTTACCTTATTCGATCAAGCTCGTAAACACTTTTGCCTTCATTTACTGTGCGTTTGCTACAAGGTTCCTTGTTTTGTTTTTAGAGAACAGTCATCAATTTTCCTTCTTGAACAAACCAACTTCCTTCTGACTCGTCTGGCAACCATTTTACACCCCAACCTCATTATCAGTTGACTCCCTTGTCTCCTGAGGGCTTTCCAAGAAAATGGTTCAGACCTCCTCAACCCTTCACCCACAGACCCAGAAACATACTTACATCTCATTTCAAACTTCCCTCTGCACACAGTATCCTGACCTTCTCCCACCTGTTGCTAGGTAAGCGGCTCAACGTATTAGGTTTTACTTTTTGAAATTTAATTAAATATTTTTAAAAATGTACTTCTCTCCAGCCTCCAATGGCACCAAAAGAGTTTGTTAATTGTTTTTTGCGTTAACAAAATGAAACAATGCACGTACCCGTCGATGATGTTAATAGCGTTGAGCCTGTGGTTAACAAAACTGTTATATCCGCCATTATGAGACATCCAAGAAGTACTGCCCCCGAGAGTGACATATTGTGCATTCTTAGCTGTATAGATCAGTTGTCAGTTCGAGTTCAAGTCGAGTGATATCGTTGCTGCGCTAAAAGAAATAAAAAATAATTAATTATAAAAAACAAGAAGATATTTCATATTCGACAAATCTCACCGAACAAAATCATCTTATTTTTTCAGGACTTATGTAAGTATTAGATTTCCATAAATGAAGTAAAGTGTTTGTTTCTCATATTTGTATTATCAAATGTGTTGTGTTTAAAATATTGTTTGTACGGTTTTTAAGCTGGAATACTACTATTTTAGTAAGAATGCGCTCATTTCTAATATCACTAAATATTAAACCATAAAACTAAACCAAGATGTTGGTAAATAACATAACACATTGACACATGAAAATTACATAATTTTTATCATTATATCCCCACAGTGTGAAGTTGGCGAGATAATATTATTGTGGGCGAGTTGTTTATTTTTGCAACTAACATCGTGAAAAATTCCCAATAACTCAAGAACTTGTCGAACTCGACGCACAATTAAATGTTCTAAACTACATCATCCAATTTCACACGTCTCAAGAATTAGTCGGGCCACAGCTGCAGGTCCTAGGCGGGTTTACCGAGTCTCAAGAAATAGCTATCAAACAAGTCTCCTCAAAATGTAGAAACCTTCCTCAGCAACATTCCAAAGCGTTTTCAGACTGCTAACATGGATTTAGAAAATCAAAATCCACTGAAACAAACACATTTTAATTTCTTGAAGATGTCGTTCCATTCATGGATAATTCTCACAACCCCCGCGTAAATATATTTCTCCGGTAGCTAGCTTTCCCCTCTCCGGTTTTTCCGAGTCACGTAGTGGCTCTCTCTACCAATAGGGTGGTAGCCACTCTGTCGTAAAAAGGTGATCTTTATGCAAAAGGTGTGAATGTAAACATAGCACAAGTGCGACTGATAAATAAAAGGGAAAATAACCATCACAATATAGGGCCTACACAGTCCAACGAAACATTTAATAGAACAACGACCAATTGATTGGTGCTCAACTGTAAACTGCTCTGTGATTTTTCAAATACCTGTACAATATTGAAGTTGTATCGTAATGACTAGAGTCCGGATTTATATACAATTGCATTTTTTTATTTCTTTGCTAATTGTCACTTGGAAAATGGTTGCAAAGTATCCTTATGAATCTGCCCATTTAGAGCATTCCTGGCGAATTTTATTTTGCATATTTTGCAATACTTTATGGTTACTAATATTCAGCGTAATTTTTGGAGAAGTAAAGCAAAAATGATAATAATTGATTCAAATCAAACTTCTTGAAATTGGAGAATTATGATTTATAGTTATCGCGGTTCATGGAACAGCTTATCAGCCAGTCAATATCCTTTTAGCCTCGAAACTGTTGCCTCCGGATGTAGATCTAACGTATTTCGCTTGTACCACGTGCGCGACCAAAGGTAAGATTGAATTTCGGGCGAGGGTGCACAGGTCGACGCTCTCAGTGTCTCGGACTCGAATGGAATATAAACCCGCGATAGACCGTGGTGTCTTTATCTGTCAGGAATCGTCTTCCAGTAAGCGAGAGCTTATGCGTGGGAATAACCGCACTGTGTGAACGCTAGACGTCAGTAGGGCCTTTCAAAAACTATTTTCATAATATGTTTTCCTACCGATGATCCTGTCGTTCATGTTTCAAAAAGACAATATCGTTGTAACACAATTCAAGATTTATAAAAGTATTTTGAATTGCATTTTAGTTATAAACATTTATTTTCATGTGAATTTTATACTGCACATTTATTGCATATTTTAAAGATTTATGGAAATACGGGCTCTACTAATGACAATCAGCTGCAGTCATTTAATGAGAGAATTATAAAATGAGAGTAGAAAAATACTTAACGAAACTCGATGTAATAGGTATTAATACACTCGTTTAAAGTTTACGACACTAGCTTGTTCCTTGCTTGCCGCAATTTACTTCACAATCATGTTTTAATATATATGAATTCATAATCAAATCATTATTTACTAATATTCTCGTATATACCAAACATACTACACTATCTGGTTCCACACATTTTCGCAAAACGTCGTATTGTATCAAATGACTGCTTCGAATCCAAAACTTGGACAGAGACGTCGGCTAGCAGAGGAAGAGGTGGGTGGACGAACCACTATGGTCTACTTGCGCGAAGCAACAGCCGAAGTGGAAGGACGTTGTGGGTGGACGAACCACTATGGTCTACTTGCGCGAAGCAACACCCGAAGTGGAAGTCCATTTCTTAATCTAATGCAATTGAATCTTTTTATTTCATAAACCGGAAAAACGCCAAATTCCTCATTGCGAGGAAACAGAATAAATCTCCCAAATTTTCAGATTTCAGATTTTTTTTTATTAAAGGAGTTGATAAATTAATATTATTCACATTA